TCAAAATCGAGCACTAAAGGCCATTAGGATTGTTGAGACCCTTTGACATACTCGAGCGAAGTGGAAGCACATCATTACGGACTTTATACTTGGACTACCTTGATTCGAGAAGGGAGCTGATAATATATGAGTGATTGTTGACAAATTGACCAAGTCGGCTCATTTTCTTACAGTGAAGTCCACCTACTCCATACAAAAATATGTAGAGTTATACTTAAGGGAGATTATAAGACTACATGATATTTTGTCTCAATTATTTCATACTAAGATCCACTTGTTCATAACAATTTTGAAAAAATTTGCATCAAGTGATGAGAACTAATTTGAATTTTAACACGGCATTTCATTTACAAACGAGATGGAAAAACAACAAAGGTGAATAAGATCTTAGAATATGTTACGAGCCTATATTCTAGACTAGTCCGTTAGATGGAAGAGATACCTACCATTTATAGATTTTTTTTATAATAACAACTATCAAATCAGCAATGGTGTGGCACCTTATGAAGCCTTATATGGATGAAGGTACCAATCACCAATACATTAGGATGATGTTGGTGAACGAAAGCTTAATAGACAACAAAAGTGGTTGAGCCGATCGAGTTAAGAATGAAGGCAACGCAAAGTAGACAAAAGAGTTATATCGATATCTTGAGGAAGGACTTGGAATTTGAGATCGGTGATAAGTCGTTCCTACTTTTAGCTCCAATGAAAGGAGCAATGTGGTTCAAGAGGAAAGGAAAATTGATTCTAAGGTACATTGGACCATTTGAAATATTAAAGAGAATTGGAGGGCATGCTTACATATTAGCTTTATCTCCATCCCTCTCTTTAGTGCATAATGTATTTCACATGCTAATGTTATAAAAATATATGGAGGACCCGATCCATATTCTAAAAGATCAGTCATTGGACCATAAACCCAATATTAGCTATCATGAAGGGCCAGTTCAAATCTTAGATCGGAAGGTGAAAACTTATTCGGAGTACTCGCTCCTTTACCCTTTGATAGATAAATCTACTCATGTTAATCTATCTTGAGCCCTAGTGCCTTTTTTCACCATATCTTTATAAGTATTGACCGACATCTAAATAAAGATTCAAATCTCTCGCCTTCAATCTATAATGAAAGTGCTCCTTTTTCCCTTCTTAATTTTTTATGATAAAAGTGGCATAATGAAAACCATGTTCAAACTTACGAAGATACTTCATCACCGATGTCTCTTTAGACAAATTGTAAAAATTCTTGAATTTTTTTATGATCTCATGGTATTCGAGAAATATTTTTCATTAAATAACTCTCAATTTACCACATTCTTCGGTTAGAGCCTTTACCAAATCCCTCAACTATTGAGACCTTTACCGAATCGTTCGATGAAGAAATGGGCCAATTTCTTCGATTAGGGCCTTCAACAAATCTCCCAACTATTGAGGCCTTTACCAAATCCCTTGATAAAGAAATGGCATTGTCATGAAAACCATAAAAAATTATAAAAAACCTTTTTCCTTTTTCCTTTCATCAAAATCATGATTTATTATAAAAATCATAAAAACCAATTCCTTTTCCTTTCATTAAAATCATGAATACAAAATCTCTTTTATAATAATGATGTGCATGAGTATATGTATTTAAATGAAATGCATTGCAATAAACATGTCTATGGCATGCATACCATTTCACCTCAAGAACATTTATAAACATTATAAATCATTCACATGTTCCAACAATCAAGTATGCATGCCACATGATACATACCAAACACAATCCTTGAACATACGAAATACTATGTCAAAGCCAAACAATCAAGCATCATAATCGATCAATTTCCTTACAAACATAATCATTTACATTCCTCATAATTCTTTAAACCTCGCATTTTCATTTGCCTCTTTATCCTTATTTTTCATGCTTAGTCGAATTTGAGCTAAGTGAAGGACAACCTTTGTTCTTTCTATCTAGACTTAGGAATGTCTCTAAGACATTTTATCAAACATATGGTAGGCATTAGGCAAGGCAACTACGAATCTATATCTACTTAAGAGATTGTTCATCCACCTTGTTCAAGCAACATTCAAATACAAGGTCTTATTCAATCCACTCATCCAAACATCATAAGTAACATATCCTAAATAAATAAGCATCATCAATACATTACAATTCAATCAATAATACACAATTCTCAATAACATATTTTTTAACCTTTTGTCATGTAAATTACAAATTAACCCTAAATCACACCTCCAAACATCAATTCCAATAGATTTATTGAAGGGTACCATTGGCATGTATCTACTAGGAATTGAGCCTACGAATTCATGCATTATGAAAGGAGTTACACTTATCTCGGTTAGAATCTTGGCTTTTCCTTTTCTCTTCCTCCTTGATTCCTTCCTTTCTCTTCCTTCAAAATTTTTTGGCCAAGTGGAGAATTCTTCCCATCTCCTTGCTTGATCTTCTAAAATGATTTGGAGGCTAATTTAATATGCTTCTAAGTGAATTAAAGGGGTTGGGTTTAGTAGTTTTGGATGGGTGGAGTCTCTCATTTTTTACCTAGGGTTTTTCTCCATTTTTTTCTTCCCTTTCTTTCTCTCATTTCTTTCTCCCCGATTTTCTCTTCTCTCCAAGCTAAAATTCCAGATTTTCTAACATAGTTTATCCCTTAAATTCAACTAATCTTCCCTCACATTATTAGTACATAACACCTTAGTCCTCAAACTTATAATCCTTGCAATTGACCATAAAATTTTAGTCCATAACTTTACATTTTTTATCAATTTGGCCCTCATCTAGGCCAATCCTAAAGTTAATTCAACCTAAGGTTTCTTTATTATTTTAATTAAGGACTTAAACCTTTAATTTTTACGATTATACTCTTAAGTTTTGCAATTGCACCCCTATAGCAATGCATAGTCATATCAATTAAAGGTACCATAGTCTAACAAGCTTCCCTTATTCCATAAATCCATTCCATTAATTTTACTTGTTTTTTTTTATCCTTAATTAAATTTCAGACTTCACTAACTTATTCAATAAATGTACCTTTTTAATAATTTACAAAATATCCACATAATTACATTTATATTTTTAGGAGGGTTTTAGATCGTGGATAATATTGCACCCTAAAACCTAGACTACAAGTAAAAGAGAGTGCTAGAGAGTCTATCCCAAATCAAATAAATAAATAATAGATAAATATAAATATTGACCATTCGCTAGAAAGCTTAAATCTTTTGAATAGAATATAATATCAGCCTATGTAAATTAATGAATGTTAACTAGAACCCATTGAAACTTACAACAAAACATTGCATAATTAACACTTTATCATTTATTCATAATGAGCCATCTTGAATGCCATAATTATGTAAATTATAGAAAAAAAAAAAAAAACGAAAGAAAACTAAATTGTGATAATCCTTTAAGGTATAATTATAAAATTACGAAAGACCACTCCAAAATTTAATGTCGTAACAAAAACTTCCTTAAAATTTAACAAAATATTGTTATAAAAAAAAAATAAAACGTTTGACAAAATATATATATTACTAAAAAAAAATTCTTATTTTTTCCCCAAATGACTTGATATTTTTAAAACCATCCTTTTTAATAGTCTACAAAATTTAAATTATTAAGGTCAATTTGGGCATAAAAAAGGGCTTCTGTGTTTGTTATAGTTTACATATTGACAATTTTTTTTAGCTAAATAAAATTAAAATTCAACAAATTAGTAAAAATTAACTTAATTAATTTAATTCTTATTCAAATTAACCTAATTAAATTAACCATAATAAAAAATTAATTATATTTTAAACAACAATTAATTAACAAAATTGGAATATAAATAAAATTAAAAATCAAAAAATTAATCTAATTAATTTTATCCTAATTCAAATTAATCTCACTAAATTAACCCTAATGCAAACCTAGTTAAATTTTAAATAACAATTAAGTAAGAAATTGTAATATAAATACAATTAACAAATTAAACAAAATGAACCTAATTCAAATTAATCTAATTAAATTAGCCCTGATTAAATTTTCAATAACAAAGAAACCGAGTTTGAATTTCGTTACAAATAAAAAAAGACAATAAGAACTCTATTGTTAAGCTCTATCTGACGGAGTATCTAAGTTCACTTGAGCAAGAAACCAAGTTTTTTTTTTTTTTTAAGGATGATATATATAGGTCAATGAGCCATGCATAAATGAACTGGCATGCCGTTCTTCGAATACGAAAAGAAAAGTAGTTGCATGCATGAGTTGTCCATTCTCTCCCACCCACACGTATATAACAACACTGGTATAGTGTCATTGTCTTCGATGCTTCCTCTCATCCACTTGTTTTCTTAGAGCCATAGAGAACAAGCAAATTTATGTTAGTAACGTACGTCATGATCATCAACATTTCTTTTTTCTGTACGACAATCCACAATTTTAGAGACCAAAACATTTGGACTTATTCAATGTTCAGTTCAGTTGGTAATATATAATGCAGTAATTGGGCTAGGAAGTAGAAATAAAAATAAATTTGTTGAGTTCAAGCAATTAATATCATTCTACTTCATTTCTCCATGTACCAAAAGTTTGGGGTATTGATCTTTCTTTCTAGCAAGTCAAAAATATGAAACTTTCTAAGATTTGAAAATTTCAAATACTTAAAATTACTAAAATTTCAAATATTTAGTTTGGAGAGGGCACCACTTGCCCTCACAAAAGTGCTGTAAAGTCGGAAAACTTCAACTTGAATTTATCTATGAATTGCATTGCATACAGCTACAGACACGTTTTGGGTTTCAAAAGTACTACCAACTCCACCACCTTAATTTCTCAAACCTATAAATACTAACAAGCTCACCTATCTCATCTTCACTTCCAAATTCCAATCATCATTTCTACAGCCATATAGCTCTATCTATATCCTCCTCCCAGATTGCTCAATTTTCAGCAAGCTCGCACCAACGTTTCAAAAGATATATAGCTTGTTTTCAACTCTATTAGAATGGCCTCTAATTGCTTGATTTTCCTTTTACTTTGCTTATTCGTTTCATTGTCATCAGCATCTCTTAGATTGGGTTTTTGTAAATCATCTTGTCCCTCAGCAGAGGCAATTGTGAGACAAGCAGTAAACAAAGCTGTCTCTCAAAATCCAGGGATAGCTGCAGGCCTCATTAGGATGCATTTCCATGACTGCTTTGTTAGGGTACGGATATATATATGTGTGTGTGTGCGCGCGCGTGCGCGCGTGTGTGCAAGCTTACTTCGATTCTTTTTCTAATATATTTCTACAGTTGTCTTCAGTAATGTCAAAGACAATATACACTCTCATTTTAACACGATTGTTTTTAATTATATGCAGGGTTGTGATGCTTCTGTGCTCATAAAATCCACACCGGGAAACGCAGCAGAAAGAGATCACTTAGCTAATAACCCTAGTTTACGCGGTTTTGAGGTGATTGATGAGGCCAAAGCACAGATTGAAGCTATATGTCCTCACACTGTGTCCTGTGCAGACATTCTTGCTTTTGCTGCTCGCGATAGTTCCTACAAAGTTGGACGTATAAACTATGCTGTTCCAGCCGGACGTCGCGATGGGCGTGTTTCTATAGCTGATGAAGTCGCACAAAATCTGCCTCCTCCTTTTTTCAATGCACAGCAGATTATTGATAACTTTGCCCGAAAAGGGATGTCGGTTGATGAGATGGTGACACTATCAGGAGCACATTCTATTGGTGTCTCACATTGCTCTTCATTCGACGGCCGCCTTTATAACTTCAACGAAACTCAAGCTTCAGATCCCTCAATGGACCCTAGATATGTTGCTTTCTTGAACACCAAATGCCCACCACCAAGTGAGAATATAGATCCAACTGTGGCACTTGATTCAACACCAAATCGCTTGGACAATAAATACTACTTGGAGCTAAAGAACCATCGTGGATTGTTGACTTCAGATCAAACACAGATGAGCAACCCTTCTACACAAAGGATGGTGTTGAACTATGCAAGGCATGGAGCAACATGGGCTGCTAAATATGCCAAGGCAATGGTGCATATGGGTTCCCTTGATGTTCTTACCGGTAAACACGGTGAAATTAGAAGGCAACGTTGTATAGTGAATTAATGTTTTCTCCATGATCTACCAAGCTAGTACTTACTTCTGAAAGCTTCGACAATTGTTCATATATTGTTAATTGTTTTACTTTTGAATCTAGAAATTGTAAGCATTCTTTCATTCATTATTATTTGGTAATTTGTAATTTCATTCTCATCTCTTTTCTTGCTTGGCCCGGCTCATAAGGGCAAGTTGTAATTTCTTAAGCCTAACGTGGCATTTTTTATTTAACTGTAACTAAGCAAAGAGTTAATTATATTTCTTAGTCCCTATTGTTTAACGAAGTAATTAATTAGTCCCTTTTTGTTTTAAAAAGTATATATTTTATCCTTTATTCTTAGATGTAATTACAACTTAGCCCTCCATATTCTTTTTCATTCTAACTTGTTTTCTTATTTTCTAAAAAATAGAAAAACCGGTAATGGTTAAAAGAGGATCTAGGTTTGTCCTTTTTCTCTCCCTCTTCCACATCTTTCCCCTCACCCTTATCCTCCCATTTCTACCCTTAATTGTTCAAATTTTTCCCTCGCTCCCACCAAATCTTTTTGCATTCTCCAACTTTGAATGTTGCAACCTTAACCTCTTTTTCAAAACCTTCACAACCATGCTTCACTTTCTATATATGTTGATAGTTTTCCTATTTGGTACCATATCAAGGGTTTTAGAAAAGTGATTCAAAAGGTCAAAAATCGAGTATTAACTTAAAAGAGCAAGTTGTTATCCAGCGAAAATATAGAACTAGATAGTTAAAATTGAGTTTTATTCAAAAAACCTAAGCCTTGTAATGGATGGTCCTTGCTCAACTTTATATATTTTTAACTATTTAATGTGAGATATATGCTCTAATACTCCTCCTCACTTACAGACCCATCTTTTGGGATCCGTCAAGTAGCTTAGACTCTAGGATCTTTGCTAGACTATTAGGCTTCATTGAGACTTTTATACCATATAGAATTAGATAGTTGAGATTGTGTTATATTCAAAAGATTTAAGCTTTATGATAGGTGATCTTTTCTCAACTTTATATATTACTCATCTTTTCTTTAACTACTCGGTATGAGATATGTGTTTTAAACTTTATATATTACTCATCTTTTCTTTAACAATTAAGTATGAGATATGTGTTCGACATAGGAAAAGATTTGTCTTATCAAGTCGGTTCTTTCTAGTCTTCCCCTTTACTATCTCTCCATTTTACAATCTCATGCGATTTGGCTAGAAAATTCATTTCTTTGCATTAGCATTTCCTTTAGAGTGGGGATTATAAGAAAAAGATGTGTAAGTGTAATACCCCTAACCTAAGACCTAATAGGTTAAGAATATTACTGTCGTTAACCTACATTTGAAGTGTCATATATTACAAACAAGGCATTGTGACTTATCTATAATACATCTAGGTATAAATTACGCTGCGGAAGTCTCATAATAATGCTTAGGTCCCACATTTTAGTTCAAAATGCACTATGAATTTTTCACGTTTTATTAATTTATTTACATTCTTTGAATTGAAATAAATGGATCCATAATAGTCAACTTTCTCAAATTCTTTTTTCATTAATTTATGCAAACTTATTTAGTCATGACTCATTATTTAGTGATTAATTAATTATTTTTTTCCTTAATTACTACTTATTTTAATTGTTATCTATTCAATTATATATTACCTTAATGCTCTAATGATGCTAACATGAAAATAAATAATTTAAAATAAACTACACTAGTTATGATTATAATATAATTTTACTATTGATACTTTGATTACATATGACCTACTATTTACATACAAACTAGTTCGATGCCAACTATTACAAAAATGGCTTATTAACTTTCTACGTTCATTCTTTTCTAGTCGTCCATTTACTTTTTTATTAGTTTAACTATTACATAGAAAAACACTAACATAGCTAGAAAATAAACTAGAATACCAAGTATTATCGAGTGCTATAGTATGTAAAGATTCATCCTCCAACCACATCCAACGTATATGCATCGAACGGACCCATCGGTAGCTCAAAGGTGAAAACCATTATCTTTACCTGTATTAGCTACACCATAAATAAATAGATGACCGATAGCTTAGTAAGTTAACTAATACATGTTATGCATGTAAATGAAGATGCACACACCAATTATTTGCATTCTCGCATAAAATCCATTTTATGTCATAAATCCTTTTCGTGACTAGTCCGGAAATCATTTTTCGATCTTCGACATGTCCCATCATAGGTAATTCGGGGTTTTCATAATATTTCTAGCAAACCAAACCTATCTACGGATGCGTCCTATCAAGCCTCCAAAAGTATACGTCTACACTTGCCCGCCCTCGAACCATTTATCATAAAAGCATGGAAAACCCCTAAAGCATTTGCACATAAACTTCCTCAAAGTCATGAAAATCACATTTCTTAAAATATTTTCAATCGCTATTGAAAAACTCGACATAAAAAAACGTTTCCATGACTTTAAACATTTTTCAAAAATCTAGGCATGCATATGCATTTTATTGCCAATGCGTAAACAATATTGTTTCATGAAATGCATGTCATGAACAATATGTAAATGTACCATGATAATGCATAATTCAATAATATAAATGCATTATTAGCATTACCTTGAATAAATTATTTCAAGCAAACATAATTAATACTAACACCAATACACTATACAAGCAACACAATTTCACAACCACCAACATTACACATGTATACAACATACACAATACATGAAAGAGCATCTAACAATTCCAATACTCATTAAATTACACAATTCAATCATAAACCCTAAATTTTCTAACCTAGGTCGAATTATGCTCTAATCTAACCTAACCATTTTTTTTTTAATTTTAACACCCGTTTCAAATATGACTCCAGTTAACTAACATCTAACATCAAGAATTAAATTAATTAAGTGTCAATTGATTAATTTTATGCATAATTTTCAAATTAGGCCTTATTGGGCCTAAACCTTTACTTACTAATACAAGCTAATTTTTAGGTTTCAATTAAATTTCTTATTCTAATAAATCTTATTACATTATCCTAAGTCCAAAATGGTTAATTGAAGTATTAAAAACCAATAACACCTAAACCATAGTTGCTCCATTTTGGGCCAAATGCTACATTAATTCTAACATCAATATTTTCTTCTCAATTCATCACCAAATTCTAATACTAAGTCATTTAATTATATATTAACATTAAAGATCCATTTAATTGACATTTATAGGTTAATTTCTGGTATAAAGCCTAATTGGGCCTTAATGGGCCAAAATTAGGCCTAGGTTAAATTAAGCAAATTTCTTCAACCTTCCTAGAATTTTTCACTTCTACTCATCAAATTATACTCACTAAACTATCAATTAACTAATAATTCATGAATTGAGTGGAAGAATCAAAATCCTAAAATTTGGGGTTTTAGGTTGAATGCTAACCCTAAAAATTCATAAAAGTTTCTTCAATTTAAATGAAAATTTTCATTCTTAAACACTAATTCATACTTAATTAAGCCATAATCAAGCCATAGAACATCAATTAAATCAAAGAATCAAAAAGCCCTAATTCTCTAATTTGAGCTGAAAGTTCACCTCTTCCTAACCTTAGAAATTTTTTATTTCTAAATCTTAAATTTAAATTCAATTAACTTGTTTCAACCTTAATTACATGAATTAATAACTTAATTTTATTTCCTCTTCTCTTTCTTCATCAAGAACTATAACCCTAATTTTCAAAATTAAAGCCAAAAATCATAAATTAAAGCATCCAAATCACAAATTGACATCAATTAAACATGGCATGTAGTATAGGTGAAGTTAACTTACTCAATTAAGCTCCAATTTAACCTTGGAAGGTTGAATGATTTAAGAAAGTCCCCCCCCCCCAAATTTTCTTCACCAATTCGGCATAAGTCCAATTTTTCCCTCTTGATAAATTTTGATCTTGTAGTTTGATTTTCTTGCTTGATTAGTTAATTTAAAGTGTTTAAAGGTGATTCAGTTGGATTTTGGGTGGAAATTTTACAAGAGTTTCCTTTGGGTTTAGCTAATTTTCATGCATTTTCTTTAATTTCTTGCACCCATATTTATAGCCAAATTTTGGTACACCTTTAACCTCATCTCTCGCCCTTGATTTGTTGTGATTTAGAGTGATCATAACCCTTAAATCAATTTTGAATCCTAGCCCTTCAAATGGATTAATTTTAGCCATTAACCCACCTTTTATTCTTAGCCTTCCATCTTGCATATTTCTAACCTCTTCCTTTTAACCAAGTCAAAACTCATTAATTAACCCCTAATCGTATAGCTAAAAGTCAGCTAGAAAGGTAGAAAAGCTCCCAAAAGTTTGCTTAATTTTAGTTCCTCATTTTACTAATATTTTCCCTAATTACTCCATCCCATCCTTCAATTTTTCAATTAATCACTTTGGGCCCTTAGGCCCTTCCTTTGAAGATATCTTTAAAAAAATTTAACTTCTTAAGTTTATAGCTAATTTAATTTAAAATTTTAAACTTTTAATTTTATGCAATTAGGCCCTTAATTTCTATGCAATTAGGTCCCTAATTCTAAAATTTTATTCTAAACTTTTTCAAATTCAATTTCTCTTCATAATAAATTCAAACACTTTTTAAAAGAATTTAATCATCATTCATATAACTTTTATATCTTTATTTAGGCCTCCAAATTAATTATTTAGTGTGAAAATTACTCTATTTCCTACAGAAATAAATATTCCTTATAGGTAGAAAAATTCATCTAAACTTACTTAAGACTCTCATACATCCTAATTGAATTTTTCTATACTCGGAATAATTTTCTTATATCTTTAAGGCACCTAATTTAATTAATTTACCTCAAAAATACTATTTATGCATAATAAAACACAAAGAAAATATTCTTAAAATATCAAAAAATTCATCTAACAAGCATAGAATAATCTAACACCCCTCTAGCAAATATTCTAAGCAAGCAAAATATTTTTCATGTACATGCACTTGCTTAAATAATTATTTCACAT